GCAGCTCTGGAGAAAACCGGAATTTCTTCGCAGAACAGCATTGCAGAAATCTTGGTTTTCTCCAGAGCTGCGTGCGGAGAAATCATGATGTTCTCCGGACAGAAGTAGCAGTCACTTGCAGCGACTTGACAGCCACTTGCTTGGGCAGCCACTTGCAAGTGGCTGCAAGTGGTGCAAAATGGAAACTCAAAATACGCACCTCCTGCGAGCTCAATGAAACATTCTCTAAACATTAAGGTTCTGAGGTGCTTGCTAGCCCTTGCCTTGCCATGATTTGACACTCCTTTGCTCGGATGCTTAGATGCGAATGGAGTCCAAGAAGGTCGAACTTCGAGAAACCATCCGGGAGGAGATGTCGAACAAGTTGTCGCCTGGTTGTATCCAAATGTCCCTTCAACGCCTTGCCTGGAGCTTGGCTTTCAACATCCTGGATGATAGTGCACAAAAAACGTGTTCCTCAGGCGTGCCGTCACTCTTTTGTCATGCCATCATTATTCACAAAACCTATAGCTAGGCATAATAGGTAACGGATGGTAACGGTCAAGCTACAAATCCAGTCTGACCTAGTAAAACCTGGTCCTTTACGACCTCCTTGAGTAGTGTGAACGTGCATGACCAACTCCAGTATTTCATCAGGTCAATGACTTGTGTTTTGTCATGTCGAAACGTGACCCCGACCACTTTGCTCGCCTCTTCCAGCGGCTGCCCGGCCGCGCAGAACTCCCAGCGGTCTAAGAGCCCACCTGATCGACGTAGACGGTCCGAATCGGTCTTCGTCGGGTCAAGGCGTTTTTCCTTGAGGGAAGTGCGGTTTTCCTGAGGTCCAATCTGGGCTGAGGGTCTCCTTGTTTTTGGATACCCTTACGAATCCGGCATTTGTAACAATGGAAAGGGTTTGGGCTCCGGGCACCTTCTGTGGGGGGTCCAAGGATTCTATAGGGTTGGATGATTTGACCTGGATGATTTGAGCATTTGTTTCTCGGATGTCCAAAACTTCAGTTCCACCCCGTAGGTGAGGAAAGCTCGGTCTTAACTCGGGATGAAGTGCTGGACAAAGTAGTTAGTTCCACTACTGGAGTCCTGTTCCACTTCCATGTTAGTTCCAGGGAGAGCAATTTGCTTGGCCCACAGGATTGGCCCCTATCGGGTGTGTAAACATCTAGTATGGCAACATTAACATCCCTTCCTGCGTCGTCTTAAATCTTACAAGAATTCTGTCGGTTGCTCATATGAAAAACTTTGGGGTTGAGAACTACTTGTGGATTCGTGAAGTTGCTTTCTGTTCAACTATCGGGAGAGGACTGCGATTGACCTGATGAACCCAAACTTGAGGCGGAATATGAACACCCAACACTTATTTTATCATATGTTTCAGGTGCAAACGGTTGAGAGGCCTTAAAGTCGTCGGCAGGATGGATGTTTGCTGCCAGCGGGATGGAGCCTCCCGGCTGCCTCCCCCTTTCTTCAAGCGAACAGACAGGAGGTCTGAAAGAGCAAGTTAGCTGACTCCTTCAGTTTACGTGGAAAGAACAGGTTAACCTTTCTCCACCGGTTGTGACTAGGTTAGAACTCCAGCCACCCAGTCCATTCCACCGATCGGATGTGTGCTCCGGGCGCAGTGCCCTGAAGCTGCACCACCCCTCAACAAACGGGGGGACCGCGTATGTCATTGGGGTGGCTACAGGTAAAAGATTCCATACATGGATGGTGTGGGCAGCAAGTGGTTGCGCAGGGCAGCTTGCCCTGCGAAGCAGCACATGAACAACCGCTTGGGCGGACTCTTGCTCACTGGGGCGATCTGAGTGGTCTTCTCTGAGTGACTCCAGCGGAGGTTTTGTTCGATCGGAGGCACCTCCGGATATGTTTGTTCCGATCAATCGAGCATACCAAGCTGAACTTCATCTTTCTGAGGAGTCCGCTGGAGATGCTCGTTCTGACGAATGTGTCCGCGTCTGCACAGCTCCTGTGAGACGAGTCCGCAAGGCTCGGAGTGCGCATATATGCACGGGCTTTTAGTGCGAAGGTAGCTGTGTTGCTGCAGCCAGTCCGCAAAGTGAGTGATGTCCTGCCATTGATGGCCATGTTCATGACAAAGGCGCTTTGACCGTGCAGGGGAGCTATGCACGTTGTGGCCGCAGAAGCTGCAAAGTTGGCCCAGCCGAAGTAAACTCTTGTAGCCATGAAGGTGGTCAAAGATGCCTCCAAGCCTTCAACTGGTTCGTGCACAAACGGGAAGATGAGGATGATGTGCCCCTCTATTGTGCAGCCTGGACAACTCACCCTTTCAGCCATGGCGTGCTCGAACGACCACTTGTAATGGGTTGGCCATCAGTGACTTGAATCCGTGCGGACTGCACCGCTACCGATCCTTGCTTTGGTGCATTGGAGTAGTCTCTTTTCATGGCACCGATGGACCTCTCCGACCTCCAGGTCCGCTGTCAGCGGATGTCGACTCGATCTCTTCCCGTTCTGCCGGTGTTTTCCCGGAACGTGACCCCGAGAGTTCGGATATGGCGGGCTGTGGGGTCAGCTCCAAACCCTAGTAGGTTGACCTGGCTGGTATTCTATTCAGTTCATTTTCGGTGGTTAACCATCGTCTCCCGCTTTCGAAACCGTCCAAGGCCATGACCCAGCTGTAGGAGCTTCAGTGGACCAAAGCCCACGCCGATGTGCAAGGTGAGGGTCACCTGGCAACTTCCGCTTGATAGATTCACCAAGCCTCTTCAAAAAATTGGTGAACGACCCGAACTATTTGTTTGATGGAGTCGTAGTAGTAGTAGTAGTAGTAGTAGTTGTTGTTGTTGTTGTTGCTGTCGTAGTGGTAGTCCTCAACGACGATGACTTTGACTACGACTATGACTATTATCAGCACTACTACCAGCACTAGTACCAGTACCTACTGCTATTCGTTGGCTTGTTGTGTTGGGTGTGGCGACAAAATCAGCGCGGCTCCAGTCTTAGTTTCTTGCCCCCGGTAGAGACAAAATAAGAAGATGTGTGTTGAAAGGGCTGCAATGTTTCTTGTTGTATAGCTGTTGTTGGATCTTCTTTGGGTAATATATATCCCATTAGCAGGGCCCAGCGGATGATCAAGTGCAGGCCTTTGTTTCGGTGATCTGTTACCGACTGTTGGGTTTTCCAAACACAAACACTCATTCATAGAGGCCACCAGTGGACATTGGATCTGGATCTGCGCTCTCAATCCCACCAACCGTGCCGTTCACGCTTCTTTCAATCCCCTCGTCCACCTCTGGCACCGGCGTCTGCCCGAAGGATTGCCTCGGAGTTCGTTCGTCTCTAAAAAGGAGCCGTGAAAAGCTGGGGATTGTCGCTGGTTTTCGGGGCAAACCCTGAGACCGAAAAACATGAAAAAAACCCTAGGGCTCCAACCATATCCTCAGAAGGTGGTTAGACCCCCCAAACCCACCCCAACCATCTTCTCAGGAGGTGGTTGGAGCCCTAGGGAAAACACTCCCCCCAGACCGAATTCCGGAATTCGTCCGACTCCCTCAATTCTCCGGGAACAAGTTCTTGAAGCGATTCGGTGCCCCTCGTGGCATCACCGTAGCGTACCGGCCCGGACGGCGAGCTCAACAGCACAAAAAACCAGCCTGGCGTCGGAACTGCTGTTGCCCGATGGATCCACTGCCACCGAACCAGGTCGGTACGGTGATTGGAGGAGACTATTGATGTAGGCGCCAGCCAGTCGGGTCCTGGCGCCTAGCTTCTGAGAGAAGGTGGCAGATCCATAGGGTTGGATGTTTTGAGTTGATCAGGTCACCAACTGGGGATAACCAATGTAGGTAACTCCATGTAACTCCTGATAACCAACTGGGGACAAGAAGTGGATGTAACTCCATGTAACTCCTGGTCTTGCAGGTGATCTACTGAGGAAGGACAGTCTCCTTTCCTGTACCCATCACCACATATAGTATCACCCCTCAAGGGAGATGGCGATCATTTCCACCAGCCTTGGCTGAGGCTCATTGGTGAGAAGGAGTCTTGCATCTCACCATTCTCTTGCACTTGCTGAATCAAAGAAAAAAATGCACAAAAGCAACACTGCTGCCTATAGATGACATGTCCATTCATTTCCAGGTGAGGGACGTCCCATGGCTTTTAAAACAACAACACGCACAGTCCAATCTTCCAACAGGTTGGAGGCGTCCCAGCGTTTTGGCGCCTGTCGGCCTGTCGGGTCCAGCCAATCCTTGTGGGTCGGGTTCTTCCAGCCGCCATGGGGACGAAAGACCAATCGAAGATCATCCAGAAACCAATTCCCAGACATTCCATGGGACTGCCATATATGCCGATCAGTTGGGGTGGTTTTGGGGGTCAATGGGGCGGCATATATGGCAGTCCCATGGAGTGTTTGGGAATTGGCTCAGTAGGTCTGGGGAAAACAGATCCGAGGTCCAGTCTGACCCGGATTTGGCAAACCGCCAGGATCCGCGAGGATCCGAAGTCTTGCTGAGTTCTTTGACCGGCTTCCTGACGGAAAGACATGGGCTATCTCATGTCGAGTCAGGCCGATCCGCCGGAGCCGATCCGCCGGAGCCGACCATCGGCCGGAAGCCATCGCTCGTCGGAGCCAACAGTCTCCGGCCCTTGGAACAAAAACCATCGCCACAGTAACTGTGTTAATGTAACTGTGTAACTGAATTACAGTTGAAAGTCCCCCCCCCCTGTTTTCATGGTTGGGGCGGCGATCCAAAACCCACGTCCCGCAAGCTAGGGACGCTTGACGTTGCAAGCTCTCGCAACAGCTGCAGGCGCTGAGCACGGCTCTTTGGCGTGCCTGGCGCACGCCAGACGGCGCGCGGCGCGCGCCCAGCAGTGCAAGGACCGCGGGAGGTGCACGGGCACGATGAAGGGTAGCAAGAAGGCCATCAACGGAGCGGTCAGGGCATCGCTACGAATTAGGAGCGATCGGACGCTACTAATGAGTAGCTCCTGGGCTTACTACTAGGAACAAGAAGCTATATAATATATGAAGCTATGCTGTTCTTGAACAATGAGATTCTACGAGCAGCTTGTCCGCTTCCAGGTGTGTTGGAGACAGTGTACTTAGTGGTGGAACATCAAGCTGACCAATTGCTACAACTGCAGCTCTGTCCACAATGGTCGTGCGGGAGGAAGATGGAGTGGCTTTTCACATCAAATGACATGCATTGGGTCTATCGGTCTATCCTATTACCTGTAACAGTGGATGATGGTGGTTAGTAAAGGCCTTGTCCAAAAATAGTGATATTTATATGATATTATCACGATTATTATGTGATAATTGTTTACTGACTGTTAAGAGCGGACAGACCCTATAGACATGCATGTCTTTCCTCCTCAGGTACTTATAGAGGATTCGTAACATGTCCTGATCTCTGTCTCATGACCCCCAACTTCTCCCGCGAGTGGACTACCCAACCGGTGAAGGGGTCTCGAAACAAGGCGGTACTCCTGACGTCAGGTATGAAACAAGCGGTGCACAGTGCTGCACAGTGCTGGATACGCGTTCAGCACTTTTTGTCACCAAATTGGATGGCGAAGTGCTGTGGTGGTCCAAACCAGTGGTCTACGAGCTATGGTTGACCGTGACCCGGATCATGACCCAAGGTCAGTTGTGGCTTCCACACGCTTCCACCCACCGTGCAATGAGACTTGTAATCATGCCTTCTCCTGGGTTTCCTCTGAATCACCTGCTCAGCACGGGCCGATCCAATCACATGTCAGGCCTTCATGTTTGGTTCTAGTTTTCCTAGGAAGAAATGAGACACTGGTTCGATCATATTGTGTGGCTGCTCCGTATGGCTGGCCTATGGCGGTCGTCATTCTTGGTGATTGCATATACCTAGATCCTCCAACTGTGCCAAATTTCAGTCTTTTGGCTGGTTTTACATAAATTTGACACCCTTGGAAGATCCAGGTATCAGTCCCAAACACGACCTGTCTGGCATATTTACCGAAAGGGTCAATGACTGGGTCAATCTGGGTGTGTCTCAGAAGAGGGACTTTCTTCCGGGTTCGGACACATGGAAACTGGGTTCCAGAAAACTGGGCGAACGCAAAAGGGTGCTTGAGTTCTGCCTCTATGGAGAATCCTCAGTTCAAACAGGGAGCTTGCCATTCAAATAGTTATTGGACGAATAAGCTTATATACCGGTCTCCATAGACTTGACATCTTCGGAGGGGTCCAGAGTCTTGACATGCCAAATTTGCCTCTAACCTGGGGGCCGGTAAGCACAATGGAGACCACAATAAGTAGTTTTCCACACCCTGAACATCCACCCCTGACCAAAACAAAGGACGAACACATAACCACCTTTCTTTGAGAGGCATCTCAAGCTTCTCAACTGGCCCTTTTTTCACTGGCTAGTGGTCCCGAGCAAGTCTGGCAGCCACACAGGAGTTGAACCTTGGCTCGAAGTGTCCACAAGCATATCATGAGCCCACCATTGAAGCTGGACATGCGGACAGGTCACTTCTTGATTTTGGTATGAGTAGACCAAATCCTTGGAAACTCCATGGGCCCATGGATCTAGCTGAAAAGGGCTTATACACAGCAGTTCAATTAGCACTGCTTCAAAGGCACCGTAGGCGAGAACAGCGCATGATCCACTTCGCTCTTCGAGAAGCATGTGCTTTCAGCCATGTTTCTTAGCGCAAACAGCATGTGAAATAACAGAATTCGATCAATCAAAAAACACATGCAGCTGCAATCGTGCTCTATGCATATAGCTCATGCATACCACCAATGCTATCTAGGCACTTTTCAACCACATCATGCTATCCTCATCTCGAAATCCGTGATGGTATTTGACGTTGCAGCCTCAATTTCGGATTGGAAAGGAGGCTGCCCGGATGGGAAGTGGCGTTTAAAGAAAACAGGTCGGTAGCACGATCATATATTCTACTTAGCATTCTCATTGGGCAAGGTTCGGTTCTTTTTGATGGACTGCAAGAGGTGCCATAGGCCCTGTGCATGCAAGGCAAATCCACGGGTCCAGAATTCTTTGAGCACATGTTCACAATGCCCCCAAGCCACTATACTAATTAAAAAGGCACACAGCAAGTTGGGATAGCAAAGAATTGTATCAAGGGGCATGGCACTTTGGCCGGAGAGTCCACTCCAGAAAGCCAAGCCTTGCAGGGTACAATCACACATGTGATTGGGAATCATGTTGAACGTATTGCACATTGCATTTTTGGACCAGTCCCACTATAGTACGATAGACTTTTTAAAGGACACCAGCCTCATAGATTGCACAGTCAGAATAGTATAGATATCTAAAAACTGCTGGCCATCATTGAAGATGGAAACAGACTCGTCTTGGGTCCTAGGCATGCATGCATGCATACACAGCTATTTTCGTTATATCCTTCAAGGCTCAAGATGGCTCAATCAAGGCTTTCGCAAGATGAACCACCGCATAATATATGCAGTAAAGGCTCAAGTACCGCCCACATGCCTCAAGTTGACCAAGAAAGCGGGCCAGATGCTTCCTAGGCAGCAGGTCCAAATTGCAAACACTGAAACATCATAGCTAAAGTATACACGCACTATCTGCCGCAGTGCAAATTGGCCAAGTCATGTGCTGTACATTCCTTGTGTCACACACACTAATGGGCACTGAGTCGCATTGCTAGGGCAATCAGTGGAAAGCGAGGGTCATGTGATGCAAACTGGCCATTCTGACTGGCTTCGAAGATAGCATCCGTTAGCCATGCAAATACTGCTCTGCCGTTGAAAGCTTTGAGCGTCAAAAGTATATCTCCCGACTTCTTGAAGATCTTAGCTCAGCATTTCAGTTGAGGAGGTCAGGAAATTAAGAAGATACCTTTTGAACATCAATTCTGGCTTGAAAAGCGTGCCCCAAAATCACAACAAAAGGCTACCAAAGTTGAACTGGGCACCATTCGTGGTTTGAAGACTGGCTGTGAACAGTACACCCGATTCTGCTTGCACCAGCGCTTAAAGATCTGGTGCGCCCTGGCCAGCTTGACATCCACACTGACCCCCGCCTCGCTTCCAAACCAGCCACATCGCAAAAGAAGATTCCTCATTCTTGCAGTTCGTGTTGCCAAAATCACAGCATATAACATTGAAAATACATGCATGAGACTACCATGGGCCTGTACAACAATCAACTGACATAGTGCGTATCGTGAAATGGATCGTATCTCTCTCTCACACAAATGTGCCATCATGGCTCATTGCCGAACCATTGACTGCATACAGAAGCCCCAGGTGCACTACGTGCATCAAATCCCACCTGATCACGGTCGTGTCGAATCCACTGATTCCAATCAGAGGGCCTGGGCAGCGGGCAAGCAGAAGCTGAGTGAAATGAGGCCAAACTACCGCACACCAGACATACTGGGAGATGTTCGGAACCCTGAACCAAAAATGCAAACTAAATTGCAAAGCAAAGATCAAATCCCGCTAGAAGGCATTCTCTCATCCAGGTACTCTTGAAAAGTGAGAGGCGAATTCCAATCGTTGTGATGGTAGCTCCAATAGAGGTCTCGAGGGTTGGCGCTAGCCGACTTGGCTCTGCACATGTGGCAAACCTGGATTGAGTTCCATGAGGTTCTCTCCCATCTGAAAATCTTTTTCAGCCAACTCCAGTCCCCTCTAACCTCTGTCAAGGCGTACTTTCGCGAGAAAGGTCGTCCTGACAGCTTCTGAAGAGATCCTGTCAGAGGCTCTCCATACACCCCCACTGTTGGGTGCCTTCCATGGATCAAGCAGTCAAATGACCAGCTGATCCTCCTCAACGCCTTGTTCAACGTATGAAAGCCCCATAGCTTATCTTCGGGGATGCAGAAAAGAAGGAAGCGACTGTGTCGAATGCTGGGCGGGGTCCACAGTATCAGGTTTGCAAAGATGCCCACCAAAGACTCTGCCCCGAAGGCTGTCCGCATGGTGGCACCATCACCAAACAGCCCAAGAGGCAAGGTCAGAGGATCCACATCCTGTGCCCACCTCTCTCCGTGAATGCGATTGTGGTTCCAATACTTACGAACGGCAGAATCTGGTATTCGCAGGCCACAAGTGTCCACCAAATAGTGCATGATGGAGTGTACATCGAGTATCGGCCATTCTTCCATCCGGTACTTGAACTGGCCATCTTGAAGGTCTTGAAATCTGATAGGCAGTTGAATGTATTGGATCACCTGATTTGCCAATCCAGGCACTGACCGGGTCAATCCGTGCAACCATGCATACACGCATGAAAGGAACAATGTTCTAAGGTGAGCCACATTGAAGCAGTGCACACGCGAATGAAAGAAGAAACAAAACAGTCGATCACATGAGCAAAGTGCTTGGTCTCAATTCTATGAAGCGAGCGTCGGGCCCATCTTTCGCACAGTTCCGCCACCAATCCCGAGAAGCATTCCCATGCTTGCCAATGGCACCAAGACGCCGTGCCATGGGGTGCAGGCAAAAACCATGGTTGTCCTGCACTGTTGCGCACAACTCATTTGGACACCAAGAGGTATAGGACTGGTCACACCAAATCAGAATGATAGTGCAAGATGCAAGCTACTTTATCTCTGCAATGCATGCAGTTTGGCATGCCTGCATGGTGCACACAGCTTGAAAGCAAACGCCTAATTCATATGTCACCTTAGAACCTAAATATAATAGTCGTGCTTGCGTGTAATTTGATCAATGTCACACAATAGTATGCATGCATATATTCTATTGTAGTTGATCGATCATAACTTTATTGGTGCTTTGTGTGGACGACTAAATACCACCAAGCCTTCCCTCACAGGGTCTCCGAGGTTCATCGTTTCAGCTGATGCTTTTTCACCCCTCCCCTCCCAGGCTCCAGCACATGGTCTTTGAGATGCCGCATTGCTTGGCCAGCAGTTGCAGCCTCAGAGGGCCGGCAGCAAGTACCATAGTTGATCAGGCCACGTAAGCAAGACATATCTGCAAGTCACAGCTGCTCATATATGTCACAGCTAGCTGATATGTAATAATATATATTAATAGCTTTGCAATACAGTACTAGTTGAAACATGTTATCCAATGAACAGTTATAATGTTATTATATATAATATATATATATTATAGATCGACTCATACATGGTCAGGGAACTCCAGAACTCACCTCGTGGATAGCAGTGTCAAGGACTCTTGAAGGCACAAACGGGTCACCGTCTTCACCTGCGATGGGATTGCAGGAACATGTTGTTTGAGGGTGTTCTGAATACATGCATGGCATTGCAACATGGTGGTGCTTTGGTCACTAATGAACCAATTGTTCACCAACAATGCTTTTTTGCGGCCCCTCCGCTCCATCTGAAAGGATTTTGCTACAATGAGCAAGCTACGGGTGTACCTGCTGGTCCTGTTCGCAGCTAGGGCCTTCAGAACTTGGTTCCCCAAAACGAAACACACTGTGCACAATGCGCATCCATCAATCCAGATAGGTTGAACCAACATGACATGGAGAATGCAGATTATAGAACCCACATGGCCTCTTTCAAACAGGGTCAGGCACAGCTAACACAGCTTGCAAAGCTTCGCATGAAAGACGATTGGAAATCGGGTGTGTCTCCTTATTTGAGATTGGCCCGCTTCAAAAAGTCGGTGTACTCATCCTCAAGCTTCTTGCAAGAAGCGATGCCACGGGCGAGTTCATCGCCAGCCTGAGTTTGTTTTTATCCCAAACGTATCTTAGGC